TCGTTAAAGGAATCAATTTGAAAACTGACGAACCTTTTCATTCCGCGACTGTACGGCGGCTTCTCAAACGAGCCGCCGGCGACGTGGCGGTGTTTGTTTGAAGCGCGTCGAAAGACAATATGACACCGCGGTTACTATGAGTCAAGAAAAGTGAGGATCCCTTCTGACCCACCGCACTACTAAACCACACTACCAGTAGTGTCGTGGGGAATATTTTTTCCCTTCTACACTACCAAGCCAGTAGTGTCGTGGGTAATTTTTAAGGGCCTTACATCTTCATTCCCATCGACACTACTTACTACCATAACTAAATGTAAAATTTGTAAAATTTTGGATTGTTTTGTAATAAATTATGTTTATATGCAACCCTAACCTCTGTGCAATTTTGCAGTTTGACGGAATTTACTGAAAATAAAATATTACCTAAAAGGGCTTATGTTCGTACAGCACTACTACATACGCAGTGACGTGCGATTGAATGTATTCTGTTGTTTATATAATTATCCACTGCGGTATCAGTACTCAACGTTCGAATAATCTTTAGTAGGTACTACCAGGCCTGTTCATCTCCGCGAGTTTACATCGAAAACAAAACACGCACGATTGCCCCCTACAAGAGTACTATTCGACAAGGCCTCACATACGAGCGAACTTTGACTCACGCACGCGTATTCTTGTGTATGATGGAAAAAATAAAGAAAATGGTGTACTAAATACGCGTCTTTCCATTCTATACATAGCTAGAACGCAAGGGTGTGAAACTAATCGAGTATAGTTTGGATATGACTTTTTTTACTAAGCTCCTCCAAACTATACACGACCAGTACGCATACGCTNGGTACTACGCAAGCAATGTAAACTGTTTACACATATCTAATGTCGCTGTTCATCATTGCTGTCACGAGCAATGTGTACTGTTTTTGAGAATATTGTTGCAACACTAAACCCACCCCTTTTTCACATCTCCCTTTAGTTTCTGTGATCTGTGGCGGGAACCAACTTAGAACTTACAAAAACTTAGGCGTCAGGAAGCTTGATTCATTTGTGATGTACGTTAAAGTAAAATAAAGTCTATACAAGCTTTAAATAAATATAATGATTTTAGTTCTTGAAAGTTTCCGCTAGGGGCGCTGTACAATCCGTCATACATATAAATGTCACTTTTTACGCAGTCGAAATCGAATGCGTTTGACGTAAACTCACACTACGCGCCCAATGACAGTTTAACCACGGTAATAATATCATACAGTATTATAACTTCATATAAACCGACGAAACGCGAGCTTTCCTTCGAATTTTAAAACTCGGGACGCGGTCGAGATCCAAAAGTTAGGGGTGTCGCGAATGTGCCGTACGGACGTCGATGGCCTAGTGTTGAAAATGACTAAGGTGATTAAATTTGACTACCGTCATTTACGGTCAAAGAAGAACGGTCATCTGTGACCCAGGCCCGACAGAAACGAGACATGCCTCAGTTTTTTTGTCATGTCTTAATTAGTTAAATTATATATTTTTTATATTCGAAATCTATGTATAACACCAAATTATTACCCTTTGTTTTTGTTCAGGCGTCATACAAAAACTAATACAAAATGCCTATTTATCACCAAAATTGGTAAATGTATGTACCTAAATAGCTGCTATGGAATGTATCTAGGTGAACTGGAGATACAGCCGGATTATACAGGGTGGAAACGAGAAGTTACAAAATCCAAAAATTCAATATTACCAACTTCCATAATCTGTAACCTATTATTGGTACCATTTGAAAGAGCTCGTGAAGCACTTTTAGAATCAGCAACTAGTTTTTCGATAATCTTGTATAGTTTAGAATTAATCGAGTGAGATCACTTATCGTTCCATATGTATAACCACCCTGTATAATCCGGCTGTATCTCCAGGTCACCTAGATACATTCCATAGCAGCTGTAATAGACATTTAGGTACATACATTTACCAATTTTGGTGATAAAATAGGCATTTTGTATTAGTTTTTGTATAACGCCTGAACAAAAACAAAGGGTAATAATTTGGTGTTATACATAGATTTCGAATATAAAAAATATATAATTTAACTAATTAAGACATGACAAAAAAACTGAGGTATGTCTCGTTTCTGTCGGGTCTGGGTTTTTTTTGTATGGGGTGTGACCGTTCTTCTTTGTCAAAAACTAGTTATTAACTGTCAAAAATGGTCATTTTCAGTCAGTTTGATTTGAAATAAAAATTATATTGTATTAAACCAGCTTTTGCCCACGACTTCATCCGCCTGAAATTAAAGTAACAGGTCATTAAGTAGGTACTCATTATGATTAGTAGATTCAAAATTATTTTAGTGTATTTTTTTTTAATTAAATAATCTACTAACACAAAACAACACGCATTTTTATCCTATTCCATTCACAAAGTATTTTGTTTGTCTAAATAAAAAAAAATTACAATCACAAAACTAGATAGAAATTCGAAGTAGAAAGATGTAATTAGAATGGGTACTGTAGGTGAGCAGCCCTATCGCATTTATTTCAAAAATATGGTCGATTTGGAATACTGTATAGATAGTATTACCGTGGTTTAACTTTCCCCCGGAACAAACTTGACCTTTATTGGTTGGATTTTTATTGGCATTCAAACTGTAGATCCTGTGTACACAGGAGTGGCATTGAGGAAACGAGAGGTAGGAATAGTCCTGTGTCCACGAAAAGAGTGGGGTGGCTATACTTTGCTGGAACCACAGCATAGAAGAAATGTTATTTTTATGCAAGACAAGGCAGGTATTTGACCGCAATCGCATCTGGTGTTAATCTCACTTAACACCAGATGCGATTGCGGTCAAGTGCAGTCTAGGATGGTAAATATCTGCACTGTAATTGCCTATTCACTGTCGCCTTGAAAAGGCCCGGATTTTGGTGTTCAGGAAATACAGCAGCAGGCAGCGTATTATGTATTATTTATTAAGTAATAAATATTATTGTTAGTACCTATTAATTATTTATTAATTACCACTGTCTATCGAATTTCAATCACGTCGTATTTTTATCAGTATGTCTTGCACACCTGCGCCTTGGTTATCAAATCACTGATAACGATGAGTTTAATTAATATAATAATATATAAATGCAGTAGGTTCTCTCTATACGCTTACTGGCTTCTTTAAAATGTAGCCTATGTTAATAATCTTCTTTTCGTGTCGACAACAAACCTACACAGTGTCAGCCCAAAACCCCGCCACGAGAGTGGCGTTGTCAGCAGCGCGCTCATCAAATCCTCCTGAGTGCAGTTGCTTGATGGGCACTCATGGCACTCAGGGCACTTCATCGACTGGGGAACAAAACAAAACCGCACCTGCACTGCATGTTTAAGCCATCCAAGAATCCCCACCTGACCAGATTGTCCTTACTACGGCCAACCTGCGTCCGAAGTCTATTTAAAGACTTCCAGGTAAGCCAGGGGAGCTCATGTCCAGGTGGAGGACTCTCAGACATAGGGACAAAAGGTTAATAATGATAATTTAACAATAACATTTACACAGAACTATTATTAGGTACGTGCTCTGTGCCCAGAACACTCTTGCATGCATCGACTACTTCTGTATGTCACTCATTTGACAAAGGTCTCCTCCAACTGCCGCCATTTTTCTCTATCATTGGCTATTCTTGACCATGTGCCACCTGCTATGGCTTTGACGTTGTCAATCCACCGTCTAAACATTGGTAAAATGTAGCCTATTTACTAATTTATTGTTCACTAGTGGCCGCCCGCAACTTTGTATGCGTTTTACCCCCTTAGGGGTGGAATTTCGTAAAATCCTTTCTTAGCGGATGCCTACGTCATAATATCTACCTGCATGCCAAACAGCCCGATCCGTCCAGTGGTTTGGGCTGTGCGTTGATAGACCACTATGTCAGTCAGTCAGTCAGTAGTCACCTTTGACACCAAGGCGGAGCAAAGATGTGTTTTGAATAAATAAATAAATAAATATCCTTGGATATTTTACACTGCGCCTCTAGTCCCAAACTAAGCAAAGCTTGTTATGGGTACTAAACAACGGATATAAACATACTTAAATATCTTTTTTTTGTAAACATATGTACATATTATACAGGGTGTCCCAAAATGGGTGAATCAAACTACTAGGGGAGGTAGCTCTACTAATGTACTATCCCTAAAACTATGAAAAAAAAATAATTGTGAATGGATTTTTTTTTTTAAATAAAGTGCTCTAAACTCGAAATCTAATTCATCATTTTCAAAAGTTTGGTTACAGATAAACGAAGCTATCATGTACAATTAATATAAGTAAAAAAAGTACAAATAAACTCCAAACGCAGCAATTATAGCCAGATACTTAGGCAAAGCCGATTTATTTTCACTTTTTCAAAAATATTTTTTTTTGTTTCCTTATGCGCTTTACTATTTTTTTTTTCATATTTTTTAGGGATAGTACATTAGTAGAGCTACCTCCCTTATCAGTGTGATTCACCCATTCTGGGACACCTTGTATATAGAAAACACCCAGACCTGTCACAGAAATTAAAATTCATCATTTCAATTTCTGCCCGGCCGGGAATCGAACCCGGGAACTCATGGCAGTGTAATCCATTCTGAACTACCAAACCAATCTGCCGACTGAAAAACCAATCAGATCCCATTATTTCCACATCTGTCCGTTCCGCTTCAGCGGAATGAGGGCTATCGTTTTTATACTTAACAGTTGGCACCCCTGGCGATTGACAGGACCTTACTCTACAGCGGCGCCATCTTGATTAGTGCAAATGCGATAGTCCTCCTACCACTTTAGCGCTCACCAGTTGGTGCCACTGTCTTCGCTACTAGCAAGTGACAGGACCTTACTCTACAGTGGCGCTAACTGGTGAGCGCTAAAACGATAGTCATTGGATCGAGTTGGTCGTGAGTTGGCTATTGTATGATGTGCCTACCGTACCTTTCTTCATTATACCTTAACACCTGCACTAATCAAAGCCTAATAAGACTAACTACATCTTGATTTAGAATCACTTACCAAAAAGACGTAGCCATGATCGGTTTAGTAGTTTTTCTCGCGTTTGCGTTGGCTGTCCAGGGGCAGACTACTAACATAGAAACTTGTGAGTAGAAACTTTTGAAACAAAATTCTTTTCCATATGGAACTCTTTCTTTACATACATACAACTTTTCCATACTCCATACTACAACGCACACTTATCCGCTTTGTAACGTAAACGCCTCGTCTCGCGGTTGACAGCTCGCGAAAGACGATACGATGTTGATCCCTTTCCGAGTTGATAAGTGTGCTACGTTCTTTAATGGATTCAATTTATTTAAGTACTCAGTAGTTAGAAGTGAAGGCAGGACTCATTCGGTGGACTGACGATCTGGTGAAGGTCGCGGGCAACACCTGGACGCGAAGGACTGGACCAACTGGACATTGTGGAGACCTTTGTGGATCGCATTAGGGTGAAACGAACGAACTAATTGTCTAACTAAAACAATGAAATACATTTTTGACTTTCAGGCACACAACATGGGGGAGAACTACCTGCTAACGCCTACATAGACGGATGTAGCAATCCCCCATGCGTATTCCCACAATTGCAAGATGCGGTCATCAATTTAATCTTCCAAGCACGTGAGTATATTTGTTCCAAAATGATGCTGTAGTGTAATCATCATTAGGTCAATTACGCCCGTATTCACAAACGATGCTTGCTTAAGTTGAGCAGCAAATCGAAGGCACAGCGTTGAATAGAGCTAAAGACCTTGAATAGAACCAATCGCAGGTTCATGTGTCACCCTGTACGTCCTCGCGCACTGTGAGACCTCATAGTAATGTTTGTGAATACGGACATTAATCTCCAATGCAGGACGACTCTCTGTTTTACCAGAGACAAATGGTCTAAAAATATAGCCTTCCTCCATAAATGGGCTATCCAGCACAAAAATATTATTTTCAAATCGGACTAAGTAGTATTTCTTGAGATTAGCGCGTTCAGCAAAACAATTTCTTTAGCTTATTTATATTAGGTTCAGATTAGTTATTTAATATTTAGTATGTTAAATATTATTATATCAGCTATTATTTTTATAGCTGCCACCAACCGGTCATTGCGGAAATTATTGGGGGAGGCCTATGTCAGTCTATGTTCAGCAGTGGGCGTCCTGTGGCTGAAATGATTATGATGATTATTATTTATAAGGGAGCATCAGGCCTTGCCAACCCGTCTGGCCATCGTGCCCTATATGGGCCATAAGAGTGTTTAAGTTTAATAAAAGCAATAAATTATCTATTATTTAGAATCTTTAGCCCCAAACTTGGGATATTTTTTGAGGTATGTTTTAGAAAATTTCACATTTTTTTTCTTGTATTTTCCACTTTTTATTTACTTGTATCTTCCAGCTCGCCAGATGGCCACCATGCGTACCCTGGCGACAGCTTACGTGCCGTTCGGCTTGATAACGCTACCGGTGCCCTATCCCCTGGGCGACAACGCTTTGACCTGCAACTTCTTGACCAACTCCTTCTGCCCCGTGCTGGCAGGCGAGGTCCTGCAGTACACCTTGAAGATGTTTATTGAATCGTCATTCCCGGTGGTTAGTATTTAAAATTTTAGGCCTCCTATGTTCTTCTGATTAATTCGTTATGGGTCCAGTCTTCTTCTTATCGTGTCGACAACAAACTTACACAGTGTCAGCCCAAAACTCCGCGTTCAAGAGTGGCGTACGGGTCCAATGACAGTTAACTTTCCCCCGAGACACACTTGGCCTTCACTGGTTGGGTTTTTATTGGCGGTCAAGCTGTAGATCCTGGCTACACAAGAGTTGCAGCAGTGGAACGAGAGGTGGGAATAGTCCCGTAGATTAGTCTAACGTTTTTTGGAGTTATAGCCTAAATTACAAGTAGTTCCGTCTATCCCCTTTGGGAATTTTGGAGAATCCTTTCTTATCGGATGCCTAGGTCTTTGACTATCAACGTGTCTCTCAGCGTAATCCTTTACATGCTTTGAACTGTGCTATATCATTCATTCAATCAATAATTGCTGTATAGAAAATGATATTCAAACTCAAGTAATTATATTCTACACCGAACGTCATCGCTAGCGACTCATGCATGATTCATTACTAAATAAATCCAGTTTCTAAGGTTGATATGACTTTATTGATTTGTCCAGAGATATTGGTCAGAATAAATAGAATTATACTGACTGACATAGCCCGCAGAATTGCTAAAATCAAGTCGCAGTAGGCGGGGCACATAGCTCGGAGAGCTGATGGCCACTGGGGCAGGAAAGTTCTTGAGTGGCGACCACGAGCCGGAAGACGTAGCGTGGGCAGGCCTTCCACTAGGTGGACCGACGATCTGGTGAAGGTCGCGGGAGGTGCCTGGATGCGAGCGGCGCAGGACCGGACTTTGTGGAAATCCTTGGGGGAGGCCTTTGTCCAGCAGTGGACGTCTTTCGGCTGAAACGAACGAACGAACGAAATAGAATTATATCGCGTTAGTAAAACAGAACAGCGCCATCTCTTGGTCAAATTATGACGTAATCCTGACGGTGATCTCAACTTATTTTTTTGTTTTAGAATACGGCAGCTACGATCGAATTCCGAGTGGTGGATGAATTCAACGTGCCAATTATTTGCATCCGGGTTCCCATCCTAATCGCGCCGCCTGTCAACGCAATTTCTGGATCGTCTTGAAGTATTAAAATAGAAATAGCCGGTTGCCTCAAAACCTGCCTCGTTTGGTTGGACTCGGCTGAGTGAAGCAATCATGAATTAACTCAAAACAATATTTATTGCGAAAATCCTTATAAATAATGTAAAATGAAGCTACACTATTTATTCAAGGCCATCTTGGCACCGCCTAATATAATTGTACATTCGCTTTTATTTGTTTCATAAAAAAAAAAAAGATAACGTTAATGGTTTATTATAATTTTACGTTAACTTTATCTGTACCTAGAACGCGCCCAAAGTCTCGCATTTTTATTTATTTGTTCATACAAGACACTTTACGTCTTTGCAATTAAATGTCTGTATCAATAAGTTCATTGTTCATGCCTTCAAATGTAAAGCACGCAATACTTCAAAATGTAAATCTAAATCACTTTTGTTAACTTCTTCATGAATAATATTTATTCAATTCAAATGACATTGATGCAAAACAGACTAGACGGTTCAAAAACCGTTTAAAGGTCATAGCAGAATTATCAACTCGGAAAGGGATCAACACCGTATCGCCTTTCGCGAGCTGTCATCACCTTCCGCACGCTGTCAACCGCGAGGCGAGGCGTTTACGTTACGGTGCGGATAGTGTGCGTTGCAGTTTTGAGTTTCATACAAAGATTACTGACCGCCTCGAGTTGATACGGTTACGATCCCTTTCCGGGTTGATAAGTGTGCTACGTCCTTATACGTATGGTTATTTGTCGGTATTTTTAAGGGCCGGAAGATCTATTTTCATAAATAAAACACTGGACAATAAATTACTTACTAACTTGCACATTAGATTTCTTCTCTTCGATCTCTTCTATTAAATAAAAATGAATTGATGTTCGTTAGTCTGATTAAAACTCGAGAACGGCTGGGCCGATTGAGCTGATTTTGGTTTTAAAATGTTTGTCGTAGTCCAGGGTAGGTCTAAACGGTGAGCAAATACGCGCGCGATATTGTTTTTCTGTGACAGACAAAATTCCACGCGGGCGAAGCCGCGGGCGGAAAGCTAGTTTTAAATACAATTTAATCACTTAGCATAAAGCATAAAAGCGTCCCGCTATTCTGACGTTTCTAGTGACATTGACATTATTACAACCCAGATCGGGCTAACTGCGCACCTCGCTGAATGCGACTCTCCCTCGCACTCACCCGCACGCCTCCCCGCGTCTATACGTCACGGCTGCCTGGTGCGCAGTTTACTTGACCATGTTGTGCAAATGACAGCAGCTCGTTGGCTATATCAGAGTAAATACAAATCAGTAGGTCATCTTCATAGAAACGCACGGGCGCGGTTTGTATGTGAGCGCGCCAATATGTATGCGGCGCGCACGCACACACTGACAAAATTTTGCGGGGATTCGCGGGGATCCAGAAAACAAAAAAAGACATAGGTATCACATAAAACATACAATAGAAGAGAAAGTAAACTGAGCAGAGCCATGCCCATCGCAATGGGACCCCACTCAGCATAAAATATGCCCACGGTGAGGAAGGCCACGACGCTGGTTTTCAGTGTGCCCCAATTTTTGACGCTAGTCCGACACGTATAGGTACTTGGCCCGTTTTGTTGTTATGCATTTCAAAAAGATGTGTCCATGTTTCCTGGGCCATACAAGAATAAGTTGCCATCTCCGAGAAAATATATTTCATTTTTAGCGTTCCTTTTATCATCGTCGTCCAAGCCCCGTGTCCAATGAGGCGGTAAATTCCGAACATCTTTCTCAGCATATAAAAACCGAATATTGGCGTGTTTCTATCTGGAAGGAGGGAATCTTCCCTTCAAGGAATGGATGGTTCAGTGGTTTATGTCATTGGTTTACCCCGCATCTAGATTCAAATCTTGGGAAAGGATTGATGATGTTACTTTGTGTGTTGTGTTAATGTTACTTTTTATTATTGACTAGTTGTTTTTATTATTGTTAGTTGACACTTGTAGTTTCTGAGATTTCGTGATGAGTGAGTCAGTCAATCAGTGACCTTTCGCTTTTATAGATTGATTTGTTTTTGGAAAGTCTGTTTCATTTAAGTATTTATTTACTAGCTATTTTAGCTTCACTTGGAATCTAGTTAGAGCAGATAATTAAATGTTCTCGAGTGGCGACTACGGGCCAGAAGACGTAGAGCGAGGCTTCCCACTAGGTAGACCGACGATCTTATGAAATTGTCGCATTAAACCTTAAGCTTCGGCCAAATCAACGCGTGCAACTCGCGTCGGCGATAGCTATGGCGATCACTACGCGTGATTAGATCGCCGCGAGCCCGCGACCAATGACAGATGACGCGTTGATGTGAACTCATAGCTACAACTTGCCAAATTAATTATTTTTTCTTTCTTTCTTCTTTCTTTTTAATTCATACACGCCATCGCCTTGGCCTTGCCTTGCATTGTTGGTTTGGCCGAACCTTTATTGTATCCATCTCTTGGAATAGATGAACTCGTCTTTAAATAATTACCCTCTAGTACAAAACGCCTTAATATTTCAATGTTATCAACGCGCCCAAACGCATCCACCTGCTTATTTTGTTCCCTCACAAAATAAACGTCGAGTGTTATGAAGAGCTATAAATTTGGAAACACGACGATAGCGTTACTGGGTTACGCACTGTGCAAGATAAACGCGACTTTTGCAAGCCCCGGACATATTATGTTTGCTTCCCACATAAAATCGGTTAGCTCCTTAATGCACCAATTCCGCTATGCACTATTAGTAATTTGTATATAACAAAATTACTAAAAAAAAATTGTGTGTATTGCTTTTTCACGCCAAACCGATTATATGGCATAGTTTCTATCCCGGTTGTAGAATAAAGTATTTCACATAACAAAACCCACGAGATAAGAATTCGGCTAAACGCCTCGTCAAAACCCAGTGCGTGAACTTGAAACGTAAACGCATGTTCTTTAATTAAATGCTTTTAATTAAAAGGGAACATTGTGACCTTATATTTTTATTTCACGATCTTTTAATCCTTCGTTACTACCATTACTATATTAATCAGATTACCAGACGTGTCTCGTGATGTCATCTTTACTAACTTACCTACTCATAATCCATACCTATAAAAAAGGTCACTGATTGACTGACTCACTCTCTCATCACGAAATCTCAGAAACTACAAGTGCTAGGAGTCTCAAATTTTGCATGGGGTTTCCTTTTAGAACGTAGGTGCTCACTGAGAACGGATTTTACGAAACTCCACCCCTAAGTGGGTAAAACGGGATCCACGCGTACGAAGTCGCGGGCGGCCGCTAGTTACTAATATTATAAAGCTGAAGAGTTTGTTTACTTGAACGTGCTCTCAGGAACTACTGGCCCAATTTGAAAAAATATTTTTGTGTTGGATAGCCCATTTGTCGAGAAAGGCCTTCTACGGTCAATAGGGAGGAGCAGTAAAGAAAAATGTTGCAAAAGAAATTGTGATTTTTTTTAATCAAAATAACTCTCGAAAACTTTAATTAGAGTGATTTTGTCAAACGTACAAATTCCAAAGCTTGACCCAATTCAAGTCTCACTACAAATAATACACAGAACAATTCGGGACAATAAATTCCTGGGCCCACTAACATCTGACCAAAGGGTTGGAATTATTACGAATGCACTGGTTCTCAAGTTTTTCTACTCAAGCTCNCCAACCCGTGTATATCTCCAAGTTAAAGTCCATCCCAACTAGGGTTGCCAGGCGTCCGGATAAAGCCGGACATAGTTAGGCTTTTTGATTGCGTGTCCGGCCAAAATAAATGGTGTCCGGCCAAAATAAATGGTGTCCGGCCTGTCCGGCTTTTGTTAGGCTTTTTATTTGGCTGCCGCGCCAGGAAGAGCGTCGAGCCACAGAATAATATGAAGCGCAGATCAGTACCTCTAGTACGAAAAACTTTCGAGTTCGTTTCGTTGCGTATTCAAAGTGTCATCGAAAAATTTTGTATGAAAAATTAAACAGCGCCCCCTAGGGCGGCTATAATATAGGGGGCGCTGTTTAATTTTTCATACAAAATTTTTCGATGACACTTTGAATACGCAACGAAACGAACTCGAAAGTTTTTCGTACTAGAGGTACAGGACGTTGGGCAACCGATGATGATAGTACTCACTCGTGAGCTATGACACTAATTGCAGCAGTGGACGTCATTTGGCTGAAACGACGAATATTATTTGACGATTTTTGTAAGTAAGCACTATTTTTAATAGTCCATGCAAATTGTTATTGTCCTAACGAATATTGTCGACGGTGGTGTCCAAAGGCGAGTGTGTGAGCCGAGCGCAGTCGATGACGACTAGGGTTTCTGATTTCTCGACCTATTTTTTTTCTCGAGTTTCGGGAATTCTCGAGGCCAAAGTCTCGAGTTTTCTCGGGTCTCGAGTCTTTTAATTAAAATTGTTGAAATAGGTTGAAATTTGATAAAAACAGGTTTTTTTTAAATCGAATATACAAAAAAACAAAACCCAACTACGTAAAAATGAACTGAAAGGATAGAAACAAGACAAAGTGTTCACAAATGCAGTCGGAAGCATCAATGACTTTTTTTTTTGTTGGTGATAAGTAGTTGGTGACGGCAGAATAGAATACATTTGTCACCAACCCCTACTCTTCCCGCGAAGGTGGCTCATAGTCCAGCAGTGGACTGTAAAGGGCTGTTGATGATGATGATGATGTTTGATGTTTCCGACTGCATTTGTGAACACTTTGTCTTGTTTCTATCATTTCAGTTCATTTTTCAACCGACTTAAAAAAAGGAGAAGGTTCTCAATTCGACCCGTATGTTTTTTTTTTACTCAGTTGGGTCTTTTTTCAAATATTTTTTTAATTTAATGAATATAATACATTTTGCAAGCTATTTAAAAAAAACCATTTATTTTGATACCCCACTCGATAGGTTTTGAGATATTTTTTTAAATACATATTATGCGCCAAAAATCGGCCATTTTCCAATCTTGATATACTCAGTGTCACTCTCACAGTTAAAACAAATCTAACGATACCCCACATGCCATAGTTTCTTCTTCTTCTTCTTTTATTTTGGCCACAACTTGGTTTTGAGAACCACGATTTCGCCAATGTCACGTAATCAGCTTTGACAAAGTTTACAGGATTGCCATAGTTTGTTGAGTTTGACGTCCAGTAGTCGCCATATTGAATTTTTACTAACGTCATGTCTTTAGTGACACTCGCC